CTGGAAAATCTCCCATTTTGGGCATCTTTCTTGAAATCATTCTTAAGTCTCACTTGAAATTCGTTGAAGTGCTGTCGTCCCTATGAAATACCGTGTATGTGCCATTTCTCCTTCCCGCCCTCAGAAATGCATCCATTTCAGGGCCTATAAACGGTCCATTCCACCCTTCATCACAGGGCCGGCACAACAGCCACCACCTACTTCGTGACGCAAACTTGGGAGATAATAGTGTGTTCTTGTGGTCTTTGAAGACTGGTTCCCGGTTTGCCGTTTTCCTAGCCCTCATTGAAACTCGCCATGTTTCCGTTATAGTTCACAATGTGGCACGGAATATTTAGTGTAATTACCTGGTTATCTCACATAAACCCACTGATGTATGCTTCTCTTGTGTACCTCAGAAATCCCTCCCGATCGCCAGAGAAAACACCTTACATATGAATTTCAGAAATCCATTCCTCACTTTCTTAATATTTCATTCTAACAGTATAATATGTCGGTCATTCTCGTGCTGATTCCCAGGGATCCTTGCGTTAAATATGTACTGCGCCTGTACCGATTTCTCTCTGATGCACGCAGATAGCCTGGCTCGTTGTTTTCCGTGTCCCGCCTACCGGCATTCAGAACTTCTTAAGTTGTACTCACTTGAGTTTCGTACTAATTAGGAGACTAAAATTTGTGATTTCCGGATTATGCACGATTAAGGTGTTCTAAAATATGTTCTCCGAAGAGCGACTAATTTTGTTTATCCCTGTGTCACCCGCCTAGGCCTGAACGACTCTCCCACCTCGACGCTTTCTCTCTGGAACGAAAACGCCTGTTTAGTTGTCCCATTTTTGCCTTTCGCACCCTCCGGAACCAAACCAAACCAAACAAACCAAATTTCAAACAGTCATCCTCAGAGTAATGCCCTTCGACATTTCATCAAATGGAATGCGCTAACCTGTCATCGCCAACTCACTTGAGTGTCCACATCCGTTGATCCAGCACCTTTCAGCACCACAACATATTGCCATTTTCGGACACACGGACCACAATTATCACTCTCTAAGTGTGCTGTTAAACCCTTCGGTAAGTATATTTAGTGTACAGTTGGAATTCTTAGCAACCTCCTCCAAACCACTAGACTGGCACTAAGTGTCCATAACCTGGTGTCCACTGGTTTAAATTATTTTGGTTTGTTTGCACCTTTCTGGTTGTTTAATAATCACCATAACACCATCTTGACCCGCTACTAAAGTAGTCGAATAACATTGCTACTTTTATATACTTTACTGACTTCATCATATATATCAAAGCAACTGCCAAGTGACAACTGTTTCCCGATTTTCAGCAAATCAGCTCAATTAGTTCACTGAGCAGTATCAAACAGTCACCAACCCGAGCCTAACGGCCTCTGGTTTGCTTATTCTGCATACACCTGCTGGGCCTATGAATAATTCAGGATTTATGCATAAAATTACACCTTGACTTCAGGCTGTCCACTCGACCAGGTCTTGGGTGTTGCTAACCATCCTATTTTTAATTTTTGTCTAGCGGACAACCAGATATATATATATATATATATACATCGCAGATACGGCTGCGCTGTCCCACCTGGTCATTAGCGTCCCCAGCCAGCGCACCATGTCCAGTGTTGCTGTTCACTTCCAGTGGGTGAACGACTTCTTGAATGTCCGTACTCAACATCTTGATCGGACGTGGTCTTTGGTATCCTCAGAAGAGCTTTTCTGCATTTCAAACGATTTTCCAAAGAGTCCATTGAACCTTGAGCCTCTTGGCTGATAAAAAGTCAATTAGCGTAGATAGTTCTTGTGAATCGCGTGTAGTCTGTCGTCACATTGTGATTACCTTAAAAGCTGTATGTTGCTATTTCATTACCAGGACCGAGTACCACAATCCTAGATTTAGTGAGGCTGATCAACACTACGTAATTGAGAAAAATGCCCTACCCACGGGATATGCTCACGTTGGTCGCGTATAATTTAAACTGAAAAAAAACAGATCGTCGACACAGATCGAGCAAAGTGGGCTGGAACTGCATGCTGTGAATGTGATATAGTTTCTTACTAGCAGCGGTCAGTGGAGAAACCCTGAAGGATCCGCCTAGCTCGACCTTCTTGTCAGTTCTGTAACAACCAACTTTTCGTACGATTGCTGTTCTTAAACCAAACTTATATATCACTTGTGGCAGTATACCATTGTCCATGTGGTTATGCCCCATTAGTGTACACAAATAATGTTTGAACTCTGTGGGAATTTCTTCACACTGCTCCGTTGTACTCAAGCTTGTGGCCCAAGAACGTCCGCGGACACATCGCCGCTGAACTCTTGAGAGGACGCTGCAAGAGTAGAAGCGATTGTTCGGTTATCCTTCTTTGTGTTCTAGAGGCCAACTTCTCTCATAATGTTCTGTATCACGTTGGATGCCAGGCTCAGACTGATAAAAAACAATCGTTTCAGAAATATTCACACTTGGACCAAAGTGAGATGTCGCTGAACCAAACGCCATATCTAGCCGGAAATAAGGCACCATTGTCTGCAAGCAGCATCACATGAACGTTGGAATCGTACAGCAGTGAAACAATTCGAAGTGAATAAGGAACCATCCCAGAGGTCTCCAAATTGTATACCACCCGCACAATTGTAGGAAGTCTTCAGGCAGATGAATGCTGAATGGAGCTTGGACGATGCGGAGGCATTGACTCAGATATTAATTTCAAACCCGTTTCCAATTATCAAACGTTCGACCATTCTCTGAATAGTATTACAGAGCACTCCGAGTATTTTTGATCATATACGAGCTAAGTTGGGTCCAGCCATGGTCGCATTCATTTTTCACCCAGAGATTGCCTCCATATATTTCGCTAAAATTAACTACAACTTTGCTGATGACTGGATGTCTGGATTTGTGCGTTGATCGACCTCAGACATGCCGTGGTTCCTAAAAATCCCAGATACATTATATATATTCTTGAGGATTGGAAAATAAACAGATCGTCAAGCTACGTAAAAATTGTACTATAAGTATCTAGACGTGACACAATACTCACAGGGTTGCTGAAAACTCTCCGACAGCAAACAAACGGCTTTACCCTCCTTGGGACTACTTCCGGGAAGTGGATCTTCAAGTTCTCAGACACGTCTGCTCTGAAACAGAGCGCTTCAAATCATAACCGGACACATCCGCTGTAAATAGTTTTTGTCTTGGCACAAGATATTGCATATCATATTTTGGACATTTTTCAGGGTCCACACACATTTGGAGAAATACCACTAGATTTATGCCATTTCTATCGAATGATCCAGTTGCTTTCAACAACTAAACGATGGCAAAATTGAATCACTCTGATATATACATATCACGATAGCACGACGAACACCAAGTATCGTACAGCATTGATGTATGAACCATCGGACATCAAGTGCTCATCAATGAATCGCAAATTCTCGCATCCATGCCACCGCTCATGTATGCCTGACGTGTACGTAGTCTGATTCAAAGAAAGGCTCTTTGTCGTCCCGAATACGAACTGTGGCAAAAGATCAAGTAGTTAGCATATTTTTCTATGCAGAATTGTAAGTTCATTGTCTATGTTATCTATAATACACAAGGAAATCAGTCGGACGTTGACGCCCGTCGCCGGGTGTCACATCTCCTGGAGTAAATCCGAGATGACTGGTCAAGCATTTAGAGACAACTGCTCTCAGTCGGTTCATCTTCACTTTGACCCTTAAACCTCATTCCTATTCCAGCTAATTTCTCTGTCCAAACTTGACCAGGGGTGGAGCGCATTGTATCGTCAAGGTAAACTGCCTTGTCTTGACAGCAACCCGATGGACGTTCCTGACGAGTAATCTTAGTAAATTAGTTTCAACACAAAGCATCTCTTCCAGGGCTGATTTCGATTTGTGCCTCGAGTCAATTACTTTCTGTCGGAAAACAGAATATGAAACAAGGTAACCTGTAGGTTGAGCAATTTTCATTGGAAATTCGACGGCTCCTTATCAAAAGGCGATTGATTGTTGAGAAACTAACGAGTTCAGTATGGCCCATCGCCAAAGTGAAAGTAAAGAAGAAATCCAGCGTTCGATCAAAGCTTTTCTTTTCGCCGGAAATTCTTGGGTGGTAAGTGTATCAACTTATTTGCGAAATACACTCATTTGCGTACCAAGCTACTTTTAATACTAGATCCAACAGAATCCCAACTGAGCATCTCGTGCATGATATTCTCCAAGTGGTTAGAGCGCGAATTTACTGACCGGAAGGTCCGTGGTTCGAATCCGACCTCCGCCACTCGACTTCCCCTGTCTAGGCTTGGGCAACCTGGCAGTATCCCAGACCTCGTGCTACCTTCGGGTGGCATGGCAGCTAGGCACCGGAAGGGTGCTACGGCTGAATGCTGGAACGCTGGATATTCTCCAAATATATGAGCTAAACAAACGCCATCTCATATCTCAGTTGTACGATATTCAAGATAATGCACTGCGTATTTTTGAACAAACACTACTCAAAAGGCTGTTGAAACCTCTTCAACACTCCGCAAACCGGTTCCCCATTTTTGCAGAGCACTAGGTAGACACGATCCCCGAGTTTCCATCAATCACACATTTTGCTTGAAACCAAATTGTGCGAAATTCACCTCCAGAAGGACGAAACCAATCCTAGGCCGTCGTAGAGTATTCAACAATTTTTGAATACTGTCCTTTATTATGTTTTTGCCTCGAGTCCAGTCCTTTTTCTCTCAAAATCTAATGGATATTTCGGTGCCTTGTACTGTTCACAACTGTTTCAAAGCCTGGGGTTCCTAGTACTGGGCCCGTTTGCACTGTAATGAATAGTCGGCACAATTCACTTTCATAAATAGCAGACCAGAACAATAAAAGCAACCTGAAAACATGTACAACGCCTAGTGTTCCGGAAAACTTGTGGCTCATAAAACAAGACATAAAAATACACATATTTATATCGTATTCCCAAATGTAAATCAACCCTGGCAAGGTTAGTTTTGTGGGACTTCAAAATCCAGCTTCATCAGTTCCGTCCTAAAAGAGAAGTTTATACCATAAGAATTGAATAACCGCACAGATTTGCACATCACATCAAAAATTACAGAATGTAGTATATACGAAGTTTCAAAGTTCTTAAGACATCCATGGTAGTGTGGATTCGCTCAGTTTATGAGTAATCATCCATGATCATAAAAAGATACCTACCTACTGAAGATACCTCTGAAGAAGATACCCCTGAGAATAAGTGTCCATTGAGTGAAAACAAACCTTATTTGCCGGACAAGCCAAACGCTAGTCATATTTGAATAGACTGGGGAGTGAATTCCAGACACTGTGGCATTTTCGACCATATTAGATGAAAAGATTCGTTGACACATTCGTCAGCTATTGAAGTTGTAAGGTTGCTAAGGTGATAGTCTATAAACAGTTGCACAACTTGGTACAGGGTAAAAGATTTACGGAGCCAGTATCCACTACTAGTTCATACTAACTGATGATGTTCCGAACTTAGGCTTTTTCTGTGGCAAGCTGTACTCGTATGTAAACACAACAGAGCCTATACTATGCCGGAACATGAAGTTTGCATAATGACAGAGCCGCTTACGGTTGAAGATTGCATGCGGTTTGGAAGTAGTTTTGGACTAGCTGGGCAGACTTTACTGCAAGCAGCTGCAACGGCATTGCCTGAGAAAAGCGTTAGTAACATCGAGAAGTAGCAGTGGGACAACCTTAATACTGCAGCCAGATGAGAAGGCAACAAAATGGGTTACAAATGCCACAGCAATTGAAGATGGCCTAAGTAGGTTGAACAAGTAAAGACGAGTGGACATATTATTAGAGTAATACGGTAATCGAATAAGAGATTTATTTCCAATTCCAGTGGCATTTTGGCGCAGTTACGAATGGAAACTGGTTCCAATGTTTCTACCAAAGTAAGCCAAGGTAGTGTGGCCGAAGCGTTGGATGACGAGATGTATTCCTTCAAATAGTACATAACCCAAAAGTGCTTATTTCTAAGGACTTTTCCAACCTGAGTAGGTACTTAAACAATCTCACCTGGAAGAGAAAGAGTGCTGACGTGACTATGGAGATATTACACTCCGTGTTACACTGATGTGTGTAACATGCCACAGAATTTCCGAAAAACGACGCAATCTTTGTTAGTCTAGCGACTTCGGTGACGAGAATCTAAGCCGGGGGTTCTGAATGTATGAAAGAAACTCTCTAAAAAAGAATCCCTACATTGCATGTGACGTTCCCAGTCAAGGAATCCATTTACACAGTCTTCACGGTTACCTATTAGGTGTCTTTTGAATACCTCGCTACCTAACTCTGGTATACAGTGTGTCCAAGTCCTAGGGTCAAACGCTTCTTGCTGGCTCTATCACAAAAGACCAGCGGAAAATTCATATACCCAGGGTGTCGTGATTGCTATAAGTAGGTGCGCTGATCCAAGTGGTTAGAGCGCGAATTTACTGACCGGAAGGTCCGTGGTTCGAATCCGACCTCCGCCACTCGACTTCCCCTGTCTAGGCTTGGGCAACCTGGCAGTATCCCAGACCTCGTGCTACCTTCGGGTGGCATGGCAGCTAGGCACCGGAAGGGTGCTACGGCTGAATGCTGGAACGCTGGATATTCTCCAAATATATGAGCTAAACAAACGCCATCTCATATCTCAGTTGTACGATATTCAAGATAATGCACTGCGTATTTTTGAACAAACACTACTCAAAAGGCTGTTGAAACCTCTTCAACACTCCGCAAACCGGTTCCCCATTTTTGCAGAGCACTAGGTAGACACGATCCCCGAGTTTCCATCAATCACACATTTTGCTTGAAACCAAATTGTGCGAAATTCACCTCCAGAAGGACGAAACCAATCCTAGGCCGTCGTAGAGTATTCAACAATTTTTGAATACTGTCCTTTATTATGTTTTTGCCTCGAGTCCAGTCCTTTTTCTCTCAAAATCTAATGGATATTTCGGTGCCTTGTACTGTTCACAACTGTTTCAAAGCCTGGGGTTCCTAGTACTGGGCCCGTTTGCACTGTAATGAATAGTCGGCACAATTCACTTTCATAAATAGCAGACCAGAACAATAAAAGCAACCTGAAAACATGTACAACGCCTAGTGTTCCGGAAAACTTGTGGCTCATAAAACAAGACATAAAAATACACATATTTATATCGTATTCCCAAATGTAAATCAACCCTGGCAAGGTTAGTTTTGTGGGACTTCAAAATCCAGCTTCATCAGTTCCGTCCTAAAAGAGAAGTTTATACCATAAGAATTGAATAACCGCACAGATTTGCACATCACATCAAAAATTACAGAATGTAGTATATACGAAGTTTCAAAGTTCTTAAGACATCCATGGTAGTGTGGATTCGCTCAGTTTATGAGTAATCATCCATGATCATAAAAAGATACCTACCTACTGAAGATACCTCTGAAGAAGATACCCCTGAGAATAAGTGTCCATTGAGTGAAAACAAACCTTATTTGCCGGACAAGCCAAACGCTAGTCATATTTGAATAGACTGGGGAGTGAATTCCAGACACTGTGGCATTTTCGACCATATTAGATGAAAAGATTCGTTGACACATTCGTCAGCTATTGAAGTTGTAAGGTTGCTAAGGTGATAGTCTATAAACAGTTGCACAACTTGGTACAGGGTAAAAGATTTACGGAGCCAGTATCCACTACTAGTTCATACTAACTGATGATGTTCCGAACTTAGGCTTTTTCTGTGGCAAGCTGTACTCGTATGTAAACACAACAGAGCCTATACTATGCCGGAACATGAAGTTTGCATAATGACAGAGCCGCTTACGGTTGAAGATTGCATGCGGTTTGGAAGTAGTTTTGGACTAGCTGGGCAGACTTTACTGCAAGCAGCTGCAACGGCATTGCCTGAGAAAAGCGTTAGTAACATCGAGAAGTAGCAGTGGGACAACCTTAATACTGCAGCCAGATGAGAAGGCAACAAAATGGGTTACAAATGCCACAGCAATTGAAGATGGCCTAAGTAGGTTGAACAAGTAAAGACGAGTGGACATATTATTAGAGTAATACGGTAATCGAATAAGAGATTTATTTCCAATTCCAGTGGCATTTTGGCGCAGTTACGAATGGAAACTGGTTCCAATGTTTCTACCAAAGTAAGCCAAGGTAGTGTGGCCGAAGCGTTGGATGACGAGATGTATTCCTTCAAATAGTACATAACCCAAAAGTGCTTATTTCTAAGGACTTTTCCAACCTGAGTAGGTACTTAAACAATCTCACCTGGAAGAGAAAGAGTGCTGACGTGACTATGGAGATATTACACTCCGTGTTACACTGATGTGTGTAACATGCCACAGAATTTCCGAAAAACGACGCAATCTTTGTTAGTCTAGCGACTTCGGTGACGAGAATCTAAGCCGGGGGTTCTGAATGTATGAAAGAAACTCTCTAAAAAAGAATCCCTACATTGCATGTGACGTTCCCAGTCAAGGAATCCATTTACACAGTCTTCACGGTTACCTATTAGGTGTCTTTTGAATACCTCGCTACCTAACTCTGGTATACAGTGTGTCCAAGTCCTAGGGTCAAACGCTTCTTGCTGGCTCTATCACAAAAGACCAGCGGAAAATTCATATACCCAGGGTGTCGTGATTGCTATAAGTAGGTGCGCTGACAATACACTCAATGTCCCTGATCCGGTATGTCCAAGGTCTGAGGATTACCATGAACTTGACTGTAATAGCTGTTTAGGCACCCATATCTGAATCGCCTTTCAACTGTAGTTATATGAACCATAACTGCCTAAGAAACTAGTAAACTAACTAAACCTATTCACGGTCTATCCACAGACTTGACAAGTCGCTGAGGTGAGAACGGAGTAATATCAGCTGATTCATTGTCTATTCGTTTATCGATTGGTTGCATAAAAGATGCACACGAGTAACAGCCGCACCCTGACGGCAGCATCACAAGATAGTTCCATGTAGATGTGTACGTGTGTAACAAACGAGCAAACGAGATTAATTCAACATGTTTACTGCATAACTTTTTCCATTCGGGACAAAAAAATTGTCACTGTCCAAATAATTCCGTTAGTAAGGCGTACTCTTTGCGGAACCAACATATGCATTGGCAAGATATATGCATGAAGTATGGGTAGTGTCTTTAGCCAGCAGCCATGCAGTACCGTAAAATATATTTTGGACCGAACGTACGTCACTTGGATCGGTTGGGAATGAAACCACTGAGTAGCAAATTCTTACCGCAAAAATTCCGTGAACTGATCGTTCGTGTCTCCGTCTGTGTCCCATTTGTAATCCCAAACCTTCAAATCAGAAGTATCTTCCTCCTCATTGGTCCAGTCTGTCGGCGGCAGAGTAGAAGATATGAGGTGGCATTCAGAAAACGTGAGTAAAAACAGCAATCAAGGCAACACTGTGATGGTTACGATATCCAACGATTTCGTTGCGTCTATACCACAGTGGGGTAGTACTGAACTCGAGTTCCCTTTTTGCTGAGATTATCACTGTGCCCAACATTTGCCGCACCAAAGTATGAACACCAGAAGCCTGGCACGCAAAATGAAGGGATGAACATGTTTACACCTAAATGATGAGGCTGGTTCAACTGAAGGATCAATCGAAGAAACGGTAGCTAACCCGGCTGGGCGAACAACTGACATTGTTTCTCAATAGGGCAGTGCCATTGATGCTTGAAACCTTTCGAACAATTTCGAGGATACAAATACAAATGTTCAATTCATCCATTATCCTTCTTCAGGCCACACGAACAAGGAATCGTATATTCAAGAATTTTCTAGGGGATGGAAAACCTGAAGACAAGAGAAAAACAATTGCACAAGGTCAATGCCTACACACACTAATAACGACTAACCTTCTTTCTCGAACTCCTCGAATTCTTTATCATCTTTCAATATGCCAAGCGCTTCCTCCACTTGTTTTGTATCTTGTTCATTTGGTTCAGGATCCTAAAAAGAATTAACGCTCTAGTCTTAAGAAGACCGGCATGGTGCAGACGGTATACGCAGAAAACCGGTCGAAAGCATGCAAACAATGTTTCAAGGGGAGTTTTAAGTAGCAGAACCAGGGGTTCAAACGTGGATGGAATTCAATCAGAAAGGCACTTTTACGGGATATAATATAGGATCTTCGTAGAAAAAAGCTTAGTTTCCAAGTCAATGTTGAACCCAGACTAGTCGTTATAGAGAAACACCAGAAAAAAATATTTCAATGTACAAACCGTAAAACATGATAGATCAACTAGTCCTAATCATTTGAAAGGCGGTGCCTAATGACCGGATCCTAGTATGGGCTTTTTCCTTGGTTTGAACATAGGAGATGGGAACAATGAGCTGTTATTCAATGTGCGAGTGGGGTTGAAGAGCTTTAAAATGTATTTTCAATCTCAATGAACCAAAAAACGAGTGCACAAAGGTCTCCGCTAAATTGTTATAGAGCTTTGCTCATCCCTCTATTAAGTCCTCAGTAAAATCTCTAATGCGTATGTGTAATTAACGATAAGCAGTTTCAGAAACCGAATGTAACAGCAAATACCCCTTAGGTCAGTTATTCCCAGGGGTCAAGTTGTAAATCTAGGGGTGTCAGAATATGGATGCACCCTAACTTGTACACCATGAGCGAAATGTTCCCTACAACGATGGCGATAGATTTTACTTTTTCCAAAACCCACAACTTCGGGTTTACTAGAGTTTCGGTGGCCACTGTGTACAGCTACGAAGGCGTAAGCATTCAGCTACATACAGTAATGCCCAAAGGGCGGTCCCTTTAAGCAGTTAGTCAATTTATCAGCTAAATTGAGTTAGGTCCCTTTAGAGAGTCCCCAGGTGGGTCCACAACTACTACTAGATTTTTGGGATTTCAACAGAAACCATAACCGACCCGCCCACAGAGTCCATGACGTCGTTCTTTCCCCGGGGTGTGATTTCAACGCACCTTTTCTTAAGACAGGATACACTGGGATTCCGGAAGAGCAGATTGTGGGGCACAAACCAACGGGCCAATGGCTTCAAAACCGTGTGCAGCCTTGTTCATCTGGCTAAGGATGGTCTCTAACTCTAGGTCAGAAGCTGCTTCAATGCAGATTTCGAGCTTATATACAGCATGCAGTGGACAATGGATGGAAATATGTCAACACGATCCATTTCAACAATGAAAAAACACAGGAAGTCTTGCTTTTCACTTTCTCACCTGACCTATTTGGCCTGGCTTTTTTACGTGCATCAATATATTTAGTAGCCCTATGCAGTGGCGCATCAAAGACGTACACATGCATTAAGTAACCATTTCAGCACGGGCAGACTGTCTAGGAGTTTGGAGAGAGTGGATGTGTACTGGATTTTGGGAGAAGAATGAAAATGGAAACGTCGAGTACTAACGAAGAATTAGGCATTTCTTAAAATGTTTCCTGAACTCAATGAATCATGAGGCATTGAAACCACGTGCGCGGTGTTAATTCACATGAAAGAAAAACGCGTATGATTCGGAGCCTTGTCAGGAGTTCTGTCAATTGTATAATACACCGTGAAAATAAGTGTGCTATTTTCAATCAGAACCGTATCCCGTTATACATGGACAGACAAATGCTTTGATGGAGAGCATGTACTAGGAACGCAGTATGGTCCGAAATTCGAACCGGTGGTGGCACATAATCAGTGTCTTATCCCATGGACTTTTAGAATTATTCCGGCTTTCCGACAAGATGACTTCTGCACCTTATTCAAGACCTTGTAAATCCTGTATTGCAACCCCTTCCAGTTTTCATATAAACTGCGTGGAATGATCAGACGATCAATCCAGAAATAAGCCTCAATCGTTACAGTGTCTTGTAATAATAAGGGCAAATCGGAACAAACAACTCATCTCATGGTGCTGATTAGCACAATCGGTGGTGGGCGCGGTTGTGATATGAACGTACGCCAAAATCTCCTTTTCTGAAGACCTAAATCAATTCGTTTAGGTGTTTAGTCTTTCCAGTGAACGGGATAGCCAGCGAGAAGCACAGGGGGTCAAGGTAGACCCAAGATGCCTAAGCCTGACAGGATGACAAAGAAATGGCGGGCACCATTCAGGAGATCGCCTCTTTTCTTCCCTGTTGTCAACAAGCAATATAAGTTGGAGGGTGGTAGAAAGTGAGGTGAAATCAGTCAGCTGTCTTTTATGTGCAAAAACAACTATTATGTTTAATCGACACTGCATACCGGGCAATGGAGACCATAAATCACCAAGTTGTGTGAAAACCTCTACATCGAAGGCTTAGACTGCAACATCAGGGACTGAGATCTAGAAATGAACCGAAGTTAGAGAGAAAGCAAATGGATCAATTGAGATGGAACATAGTAATGCTTCACCAACCCATAGACAAAACGAACCTGGAGCTGATATGGTTGCGAACCAACGAGTTGGACGGGAAACAAGCGAAACCATAAGAATGGAAATATATTGAGATAAGGCATATACATTTTTGTACAAAGGACTGAGTACAGGTCAGTGATATCTGGCGTTGTCACAGGCCCATTCGTCCTGCCGGACGTTTTGAAACAACTGGGGTCCCTGGAGTCCGCATGCCCGGGGTAGCGATTGGGCGCCTGAAATGTGAGTACAAAGTACGATTCTAGTTGATGACAGCAATATATGCAAGCGAAAAGGAGTTAAGACTGAGTACATCGTATGGTTAATACGAATTCATTTTTGAAGGAGGCACTATGATAACGATGAGGTTTTAAACACGAAGAAGTTTTTGCGTTTCAGGCGGTTCGGAATCCATTCCAGAATTTCACCGAATTTAGATATTTGTAGGCACTAACGTAACTGCAGATGCACATTAAGAGGACAAATAAAATGTACTTGATGAAAAATCCCTTCTATGAGAATAGTAAATCGAAAGAACCATAACTGACTGGTAGTATCGATAAACTATAATAATGACGAAAGATATTTTGCTTTTATTGCTCACAGGATAGTTAATTCATAAACAATCGATCATTTAGATGACGCCGGCTTAAAAGCCCAGCACAGAGTGGTCTACCGATGTCGATCAAGTAGAAAGTGACTTCATATTAAGGAATATGTACACCGACCGCAGAGAATGCAGCCAAACTCACAATCGACTGGAGCTAATCGAAGCAGTAAGCTCCTCTCGTCGACGAGATATTTGTTCTTCGGCCAATCGCATTTCGCGTTCCATTTCAGCCAGTTGTTCTTCGGCTTGCCTCTTGCGTTCCAAGCGAGTGAGATTGGGATCTTTGACACTTTACAAAACAGAAGACGAGGATGTGAGATTGCAGTTAGTTAGTAGTCTGTAGATACGACAGACAGACGTATCCAATGATGCAACTAGCTTGAGGATCAAACAGTCACTAACTTAATATGGAAATTTGAAAAACCATGCACCATGGTTGCATGTAGAAAATCTGACCACGTGGGTTTCTCAATCAAATGTTGTGATCTTGTCGCAGAAACACCTGCCTTACTCGACAAAAGCGAATTCGCACTTAATCTTGGTCATCTTACGTCGCGACAATGAAAAGCGCGGAAACATGTGAGTTAGGAATGTAACCGGAAGCACGGAGGAAGTCGAGCAACAGGATTAATACAGTCTTTCGACCAAGATTTCCATGCAAACACCATGGGACTGGGTTATCTGGGGTGTTGTCCTCACCACATATAGGAGAGAAACAGCGCATCGTCGAGTGTATCAAAGTTCTAAGCCATAAGTCCCGGATAACGTCTGTTTCATGGCCCAAACTACTGAGTGAGGTCAAGACCGGGTTCCACTTATGAACTCTGCACAGCCTGATTAGTGTGCTAGAAACCTGTGCCCCAAAATGCCGCAGTATTGCCCGTGATGCGTTTCTGTTTGGCCCGGCATGAAACATTTTAATTCCATTCGAGATAGCATGAAAAAAACTTGAGATTCTGTACTACAACAAACCTGATCCTGCTGCCACTTGGAGCAGATGTTCTTATGGAATTGAAGGGTTAAAGTGAATGTCCAGAGCTTAAATCGAATTGATAAGTCATTGGTGGATCTCAAGCATCACATTAGTTTGATATTGATTTGCCAGTCTGAAAAAAAACATAAACACTCCTTTGATAGAACTTTTTCTATCCATCATAACAAAAGGTTACTCTTGGTCATGTGTTGTACCGAACGAGAACAATATATACTAATGGTTGGCAGTTGATCAGGTGACTCTTAATCTGTTCGGCGAGGTTGGTGATTGGCTTGCCAACGCTTCGCCTCCATTCGAGGGAGTATTAGCATTTCGCGAGCTGCCATTATTTCAATAATGACAAACCAACGGAGATTATTAAAATCCTAAACCCAAGCACAATGTACGGGTGAGGTGACACCGGAGGCGATTCAAAATCGACCCCTCAGTGTTATATAAGGCTGCTCAGAGCTCATTCAGATGAAGAAGATCAGTACACAGGACGTTTTCCACGGCTAGTTGCTGATGAAGAGCGCATCACCAGTGCATAACGCCCCCTATATTCTGCCTCCCTACCTTGTGGGGCATAGCTTTATTGATAAAGGACTTCACGAGCGATTCCTCCATTTAAACCGTGTAACCGTATCTAAACAACAAACGCCAATCAACGTATCACACGATGGCTAGCTGTTCAGACAACTAGTCGAACAAGATAGGGACAATTGAAAAACCATCGCTTCTCATCGACGTCATTATAGTACAGATATTTTCATCCCATTTTCTTTCTCTTGACCACATCTTACAACATTCCACCGTCAATCCAATACTAACCAGTGTGCCATCACTGATGCAGGGTTTTGTTGTCTGTTAATCCTTGCAAGATTAGTGATAAAACCCTGGGAACATCTCAATTAATAAGGTTAGATCGAAACGTCGGTAGTTTGCTCCAACACTCTGGCCCATTTACTAGGGTGCGTAATGCCAGCTGATTGTACTGAGGCTAAATAATCCGGTAGTCGGGTAAAAAGATACCCATAATCGAAAACATATTCTCTGGTCGGTACAACCAACTTACCTGTAAAACATCGGACCCATTTTGGCGAGCCAGGTGCCATCCACAGAAGTGACACATTGCATGTACTCCTTTGTGGTCATGACCAGTTCATGGTAAATCACATAGTCCGGAGTGTAACCCATTCCATACAGGGCACTGGTGGGATGCAAGTGGCACGGCATTCCGGTGCGCAAATTCACATACTCTCCCAAGCCCTGGTGATTATCCGAAAGACAAACAACATATAAACGCGTAGGTCACAAAAGACAAACCAATTCTAGATACCCTACACAAGGTAAAGGGTAATGAAAGGCACAGGCAGACACGAAGCAGACAGCCTTCGGTACATGCATCGCAATGGGAATTAGGAATGGAATGACAATGGGGCATAATAACTAATATTAATAACAATGGTACTGATATAATTACTAGTGTTTCATCCCATCCAAAAGTTAGGAAGGGCTACAGAACAAGCTCTTCCAAGCCTAAATAAACCAGAACATCAAAGTTAGGTTTTCCTTAGGAATATATGATAATAGAAATCGTCCATAGGGGATAATCAACGGCAAAGTGCACTGCTACACTAGCAATTAAAGCCAAGTCAGAATTTACCAGTGGGGCTAGTGAAAGCGAAGCTACTACCTCCAACCGGCCATTCAACCAAGTTTAAAATAGCAATAAATCGAATATAATCACTCCGCATTTAAGGCATCTAAGTCTTGATGGAATCGTCCTTGTATATTCGTTGCTGAAAAATCCTGGGATATGGGAAATGGGAAAATCCTCCTTTGAAATCATATCCCACGAGCCTAGCCGGAGATTTTCGCACCAAAGTTGAAAACCATTGGGTACAGACGGAATGTAAGGAAAATGCTAGTCGGCCATTATCCGTATCTCTAACCCAGTTTGCAGAAAGATTTTGGGCAACAAGTACTTGGTTTTGCACCATGAAATCCTAGTCGGAAGCGAGTTATTCGGTTAACATAAAGGTTACTCTATATAAGATTTCTTACAGAAGTTTCTGTTCGAATCTAAAACAAGTGGGTTTGTACGATTGTCCAAAAGAAGTTAATCTGAGTACACAACTGGCTAAATGATATGGATAAACTGATTCCCCCATAAGCCTGTCAACAGAAAATGCAGTGAAAAATCTCACTGCACTCAACGATTTCAGCCATTCACTCTGACAAATTCAGTGGCCTCGTCATTCGGGGATTGATATAGGCAAGGCCGAGACGAGTTGCCTCAGTTTTTGGATGAACCTGCTCGGCGCCATACACAATACTGTTGACTTTACAGCAGTCATCGTTCACCTTACTAGCAGTCAAAAGGTAGATAATGAGCTCACCGAATCGATGCAATGGACTTTCACATATTAGCTATTCAAACTCGCCAGTCCGCTGCTTTTCGAATGTGCGCGTTCAGAGTCGGTCGGCTGAGTGGAGAAGCTGACATCGTCGAATTTCAAGATGCGGTTTCTCCGTCGGAGGAAATTGACAGAAGTGATCTCTCCCGAATGCGGTGCGGCGAATGGATGCGGAAAGCAAGTTCCCCTTAGACAAATCAGATATGCTTCACATGAAACAGTAAGAACAGTACTTATGTATGGGTGTTTGGCTAGCTGTGGTCTGTGGCTAGGTACGGTTACGCAAACTGTCAAAAAAAACGGGGAATTTCGTTTTCCAAAGAAAAAAAACTGCAGGTTGGCTGAAACCCACCTTGATTCGAGCGGCCTGGTGAAAGAATGTGGCACAAAGACATTCGCGGACTACATCCCAATCACTTCTGATCGAGCGTAGATTCATATTGTGCTGCTCCATAATCTCTTTCATTTGCTGCCTTACTTCTCGCACTTTTCGCATCGCCTTCAGGTGCAAAAAGTGTCGAGCACAAAACCCGGCCGAATAACTTGATTTGCGCCATTGAGTGAACACATTCAGCAAGGTTAAATGATCCGATTCGGGGACTTGGAACTTTTCGCGCGCGTTGTCGGACTCTTCCTCACGTCCTTTGGGACGATAGAATACGCTGGGAACAGATAGCATGGACACAATGGTGAGAATTTCCTCAGAGCAGTCCATATCGCAGGATGTGATGAGCAACTTCGACAAGGCTGGGTCGAGTGGGAATTCTACCATCTGGCGTCCCAAGTTGGTCAGACTACCAGTGTTATCCAAAGCACCGAAAATCCACAGCTGATACATGGAGTTGAGGATGTTGTCCTGAAACGCAAAATGACGAACGGCGTAACCCGTATGTCAAGAAACATATGATAAACTGAGCCATATCGGGTATACAATGCGAACAGTGAGCTGTTATGACTCAAGCAAGAGGTTGTCTCAAGCGGCCATTGCTTAATTCATCCATAAAACTATTTAAAAACGGTGTATTAGTTGATATCAGCCGCAAGCGTCGGGCTGGAGACCAGCTTGTGATCCTGAGAAATACAACATTTAGATTTTGTAGACATTAAATATCACTAAAAACCAGAGAAATATAAGATACACTGATACTCACTTGTGGAGGAGCATCCATAAAATGAAATCGCATCAAATCTTGAACTCCGAGTGATTTTAACAAAAGCACAACGTTAGCCAAATTTGTCCGCTGGATCTCAGGAACAGCTGTGAACAGCATCTCTTCTTGAAATTGCCCGATTGTGTAAAGACGATAGCATACTCTGTGTGCGAGATTTCGGTATGGGAAAGTTAAATGGGACAACAAACAAACAACAACAAACAAACAACAAACAATAGGACATCAAATTATGAGAAGCGACATGGTTGGGTAACGCAGACTAGACGTTTTCCTTTGGCGCACACAAATTGTGACAAGTGTTGGAAAATAGGAGTCAGAAGTAAGAGCAGCAGGTGATGGTCGAATCGGTCCTTCCTAGAAAGGACCCATAAACGAAACCTGGCCCTTTATAATGACAGACAGAATACCTCGCACAAACACTCAACCGAAACTAGCTTATTAAATCCCGTCAAATTCCCCAGATATGAACAATATGGTCTCAGCATACCATAACTTTATTGTGTATCTTGCCAGTTGGATCACACAACTTCAGGGATGTGAGGGAATTGTCTCACCAACGATTACTGAATGAAAAGTGGATGACTGACTCATTTCTACCGGGTAACGTCAAGCACACAGTGGTGGCCGATGAGCTCCAACAAGAACTGAACTAACTTGCGCTCTACCTCGTGTACCAGAGGTATCCGGATTTTACGTAATCCGGATACTAGTAATGAGCAAACCATGTGCAGACATAAACTTGGTAAACTCTGATTACCTCACTAACTTATGGTAGCCAGGCAACCAATATCGAATACTAATCAGTTGACAAACGATAGAATATCCAGGAGTGGTTTCGTTTTGTTTAGTCTTGAACTGACTTGTATATTTGCAATGTACTACTCATAAGGTTGCTGAAAATTCGTCGACAGCCCACGACCGGTTTCGCCCTTCTTGGGTCTAATCAGTTAGGTGCAATCCCCGAGTTTCCGTCAACCTTATGTTCTACCTGAAACCAAATCGCACATTCAGTTGGCTGGAATGGGTTCGAGGCGAGTCTCTCGAAAAACCAAATTAGTTTGCAAATGAGTGTGTTTCGTTCGACTGCCTTGTTTCTTAGTGTTAAGTATGCAAAAAGAAGATAGCAACAGAAAATTGCGGAAATGCCACCATACTTACAACAGCAATCACTAAGTAAACAAGCCACCACAAGCAAATTAGCATGAACCCAACAGCTTGGCTAGCATACAACACGTAGGTTCGAATAAAGCATCAATGAATACGGAAAAGTGGTTGGCAAAAAAATGAAGTAAACCAACTCGACCTGGGTAACGACATGCAGTAATAGTTAATACATTTGTGTGTTTGTACTCAATTCGTTTTGGTGTATCCAATTATTGGCTAGAATGATTTGAACAGTCAGTAAAGCTGGAAAACGACGGAAAAATAAGACAACCAAATAGTATGGAACAAAGAAAGCGGGTGTAAATTCTCTTTCACGAAAATTTTGGCTCGTTCCAGGGATATAGTTCGTGACAATTAAGATTTCGACCCTAAAAGTATAGGTACAGTACCCGTAAATGAAACCGGATAAGAAGAATTTTGTTGACTCACCCAGGCCCAGTTCTACCGGCTCGGCCAGCCCGTTGATTGGCGTTAGCCTGACTGATGGGGAAAACTTGCAATGCATCCATACCAATCTTCGGATTAAATACTTTCAATTTGCAGTATCCCGTGTCTATCACATAGCGTATTCCATCAACTGAAAAACAGCGAAAAACACATTAGAAACAGAAAATTCGGGAAGAAAGTGAGCCGCATTGAAAGAAGTCGGATACTTGTAGGAGTCCCGAAAGGTCCCACGAAAGATGGCACATCAATACTATGTGCCAAATCTTTCACACTATGTTGTCTTCAGGTTTTCTGACCCAATATTATTATTAAGAGTGAATGAACAGTCTATCCCTTCACGTGATCGCCTGGTACCAGATCGTCGTTTAGCTAGTCGTCACAGATGCGTTCATACTAGACCACCGCTGAAGCCTGAGTGAATTACCCGCTTCTGGACATGAACGGTCCTACTTCACAAGACCACTTCATCAGTGACCATCCGGTTGCTGATACCTATTGCACATGAACAGTGAATACGGAGGAAACGGGTACCCATTATTACACCACGTATATAAAATATCAGTTGGCTTGTTGAGATGTATGTTTACTTCAGTTTTAGACTGCTTAAAGCATAGAATACAAGTGTGGTGGAAAGTTTCCAAGATATGTGGTTCTGCAAAAGGAGAGCTTGAAAAGATCATTTGGACGGATTGTGAAACATAGTCTAAATTGAAAGCCTGAATAAAAACAGAAAAGATTGAGGAAAGTACGGTATTCGGCTGCAACTCGAAGAACCAGACGCCAGCATCACGGTATTGAGGTTCCTTTTCGTCACCATGACTGACTCGGTTCGTGGCTCTCAAATAACCCTCCTCCCTCCTACCAGTAGGCCTTAATTTATTGGGTTTGTGTCGACACAAGCGGCTTACACGCATCGTCACCCGGTTCATGTAAACTGTTTACGGCGAACCACCTACGAACAGCGCCCACAGGTTCACTTGGTGTTAGTCAGTAGATCCACTTTGAATATCAGTTAACCACCTTATCAGCGACTCACTGTAAACAACCTACTATGCAACGAGTCTGGTTTGACTGTGTAACCTTCTTATTTATTCACCCCATCTCCGGTAACATGTGCATCAATCCTTACAGTTGCATTGCAGCGGTTAGATTTCTCTTTTACATTAGTCTTCTCAGAAATGCGGCCTTTAAAAACCAGTCACCTTCACGGGGGAAGTGAAAATATTGGTTCTGAACAGTTTTCCAATGAAACTATTATGGTCCTGGATGGTTGCAAGGTTTCGAGAATTCGCGTTCACACCACTCTCGTCTAAAGAGCTGTCTTCCAGTCCTGACGCAATTACTCTCGTGAGTCCACACAAAAGAGGGAGAGCATTGGATTCTAGCTTCGCTCTCATTAGGATGGTGTTATTGGGTTGCACGACGCTTACGAGTGAACACCTTCGTCTGTTCAAACGTGGAAATTCAGGCAGGTCCACCATGCGCTTGTGAAGTGGTGCTAACACGCTTGCCTCGCATGTCAAATGTCCGGAGTTTAAACCTGAGCACGGTCAAGGATGTGCACTGCTGATGATCTCTAATAGGAGTCGAGCGCTTCTCCCTTCGGCACGGACCCACGAAACTAACTGTATCAGGACAGGAGGACCGTCCAAAACGAGCGATGCAAACCGAAACTGAATGTGAAGCTAAACCAGAAAGGAAACTGCATGCCAAGCTTGCAATTAATTTAATGTCTGAAGTAAGTTGAAAGCACTCGAACACTCAGCGGAGACTAGCTCATCGTCTCAAATGGTTAAGGGACGCTAACGTCTATTCAGACTGATTTCACCTGCTACTTGATATGCGCGAGTGAAACACAACTCTTTATGCTGAACAGCCGCATAAGAGCAGAGATCCTAATCAATAGCTTACACTTTTGAATTCCAAGTCTTTGTTCTTATGTCCCAAAAGAAAAATATGAACGCAACAAATTCGATAAGCTTTAGGCAGGTTAGGATGCAACATAGAAAGTGATAAAGTGGTGTGGTGGCTATGAAGTTACTGTGCAAAAGAACGTTTTCACAGATTTTCTCACGTGATACGCAAGTGCAAAGTAAAACTTTACCTCTGGGAATTCGGAACGACCTTGCCAATTATGTTAAAATGAATGTTGTAGATTACAAATGTAGACGTCCAATTATCAATAAGGGGACAAAGATCAGATCAGTAAAGCAGAATATACAATTTGTGCCTGAATGGATTATAAAAAGACCTGAGAATAATGATGCTGCCTATTCATCTTCCATCCACCCACAAACACGCGTTATCAGCGGAAGGGTCTCAAGGTGTGTCTGCACCATTCAGGTTGAACCGGAAAATACAGCTATGGTCACCTTCACCTGAGTCTCATTTAACGGTAAGAAAATATAAGACTCTAATAATCAACATTCGGTCAGCTTGTTATGTGTTACGTCAAAAAATTACCTACCTCCGTTTGGAGGAGATGGTCATCTAAGCCCCCAGTTAAACACAAGCGGGTGGTGAAACGGCATGATAAATTTCGGAGGAACTGATGAGTACTCTGTCAACAAATGGCTTACCCGTTAGTGAGGTTTCAGCGATATTAGTGGCCACCACACATTTCCGGACACCGTTTTCTGCTTTCATGAATATCTTCGCCTGTAAATCACTCGGTAACTGTGAGTAGATGGGTAGTATTGAAAGTGGTGGGGCCTCTTCAAGATTTCCCAAGCGTTCTGAACGGGAAACAAACGGATGCAGATGAGTTCGTTGGAGATGAAACTACTGGCTCGTCCCAGCTTAAAGTGTATATTATACACGGATAACTACAATAGTCTTTCACGATGCAAGATCTACCCAGCTTATCAGATTATTATGACCAAGCGACGACATGCAGTCTTTGAGAGAGAAAAACTCGTAAACGTCTCCAAGCTTCCTGAAGTGCGTCGCCAGGCGTGTTTGATAAATCTACCGGCAGGCACTAACCAAGAATTATATAGAATAAATGAACTATAGTAATACTAACCAAGTTATCAAACTTTATCACCTTGAAACAAAGCAAATAAACTAGATCTTCCGTGGCATAATTCACACAGATGCAGGCCTAAGTAGTCATAACACATCCAAATATTTCGGCAGTTCCCTTGAAGCAATTCGAAAAGAAAGGGCCAAAATGTGCAAAACAGAAGAACAGGAATGCAGGCTACAAAAACTAAACCTAATCTCTCGACAATTCGATTACATGTTGATTGTCTGAAAAAATAGAAACATACCTGCAATGAGTTCACAGGTAACTTCGATATCCTCCTGGCCAGGCATGAATATTAGTATGTCACCTGAAAAGAAAGTACGGAGTTTGAAAACAGCAAAGATGGAGCAGCTCTTTAACTAAACTACCAAAACATTGGAAAAATAGACAAGGTAACTTAAGTGCATTCGCCCAAACGATATGTGGTGACCTAATGTACTGAAGTGATCGAACCATCGCTGGTGCCAAGCGGGTCCTACAATCATGATCACCACAGGCAAATATTTAACGAAAGCAGTACAGAGACAGCGAGCTGCCAGCTAGGATCACTTTCGAGAATCATTAATTTAGAGCAAAACCATTGTTTAGTAAACAGGTCGCATGCTATTAAAATGCACATGGAAGTGACCCAACAGGGAGAATCGTGGTGGCGAAAATTGAATTGATCTGGAAGGACGCATTGGTGTTATCCTACGACAGAATGGTTTTGTGGGTATTTCAGGTTTTCAGCAGGACATTTGGCTAATCTGGCGACTGAGGCCGCTTGTGCATGCCAAAACCGAACAACTATTACTCGCGTTAATTGGCCTGTTATTTCTCGACTTCAAAGGGAAGAATTTGGCACCGTAGAATTATACAAAAACATTAGGTGAAAAGTTCGTCACCAATAACCTACCATCAATCGGTGATCCAAGGTGGACTTGAATAGCCTGTTTCACAGCAGCATCTACGTAATCCATTACGGTCGTTTTGCTAAACTGCAAGTCCACAGGAAATGTGCGACCCGGAATTCGAAAGGTGGGACAGTCTCCAAAAAACTGTGCAAAGCGCTCTGCATCCATGGTTGCCGATGTAATTAATAGGCGTAAATCATTGCGCCGGCTTACAACCTTATGAACAGAATAAAAGACAATGAAGGAATGAGTTTCCGCAACAGATCACAGTAATCATTCGACCCTTCGAAAGCACATGTCCAGCAGACATCTCACAACTAAAATGATACCCAAATCTCAAGGGATATGTTTTGGTATGATTGAAATTCAACTGTGGTGAAAGCAATTTGATAGAATGTCTGTTTCCGGCCAAAAACCCTTCGAATGAGCCCTTTCTAGCTGTCCCGATTGAGTTACCGCGTTTCAGGTAGCAGTAGCTTGGGTAAACTTGTCTACTGGTCACACCAGCTCTGCTCTGAAGTTAGGAAATTAGACTGTACGTCAAAATAAGCTTCATTTCAAGGGAAACTTTCATGTCGCATCATCCTGTTCGACAACTAACGAAGTCCAGCATGCTGTAAGTGAGCATAGTGAATTCATCCAACCAAGACACGAAAAGGTAGAAGTGAGTCTATTATTCCCCACACAATAGGTGTGGTCCAAGTTCAATGCCAAACTCAACAAGTTGCGGCACTTCGATCCAACACTGGAGTCGTTACTCGCGCCCAAGATTGGTATTTTTACAGTAGCTAGTATTTATATTGTCTAAGAAGCAGGTTTTATCCCTTAACTGGCACAGATAAGAACGCTGTGGCAGATTAACTGGCAGTATGAGTTATCCGTATCTATGCTACATAAATCTAAACTCTTGGCAGAATGCTCAACCTAGGAAACAGCGTGAGAAGCAGCAAAAATATTGAGAAAAACACTTCATTCACTTAAATTTCTACTGCAATCTGATTAGAGGCATTCAAATGAGAAAAACAGATGATGTTTCAGTATAGATCGAAACAGTTTGAGATAGATAGGTAGCTCGAGAAGGCTAAGTGGTTAGAGTGCGAATTTACTGACCGGAAGATCCGTGGTTTTAACCCAACTCGGGCATTTCGACTGCTTCTGTCTAGGACCAAGCAACCTAGTAGTGTCGTAGCCCTCGTGCTCCCTTCGGGTAACATGGCAGCTAGGCGCCGATTACCACCATGCTATTATTAATATCTAGATATTAGACAACCAGGAGAATTCTCGAAAGAATGATAATCCACAAGGCACTGATCACTTGAATCAACGCACGCAACATTGTGTGCAAAGTATCAAAAATCAAACAGAACACTATCAGACCAGTGAACAAGGAAACAAACGGGCTGTCCAAGAGACTTTAGCAACCCTTTGGATGGTGATACATTAGGTGGAAAACGAGAACTTCTCTGGAGCCCAACAGGCAAAGGTTACCGATAACTTTGAAGTTGACGTATCTTCATTCACGTCTGGGCTCCACCGCTGTTTCTAGCAAAGGTGTGCGAGAAATTGTGGCAGTTGAGCATAGGAGCCCGGCTCATCGAATTCGAATTCCCGTAAGTGCTCTAACATGCTATATCCTTTTGGTATCCTACCGAACTTCACTTTCCAGAATATGCCTTATTTCATTCTTCCTTGTTAGCAATGTTTAGGTCTAAGATTTTGTGGCCCGCAGCTCCTGTGCGTTCCCTCGCATTGATGAACAACTTATTTCATTCGAATGGCTTATTACCTGGAAGGAGGACAGATTACTTTCAGAACCTCATTTCTCACATCCCTTCAGCTACTAGCCGAGATGAGAATGGTGACGATTTCTTTCATCAACACGGTAACTCCTCTCCGTTTCAAAAAATGATTGCGCACCATCTGGCCTTACTGTGCCACTGATACTCCCATAAGCCAACCTCAAGAACTTAGAAGGATAGGGCGGCAATTTGGACTCCGGCAGATAGTGGATCAATTTTAAACAAACCCGGTACATTAGTTGCAGCCCGTAAAAACATACCCACGCATAGCCGAACGCAAACGCGGATTTAACGTCTCGGTTCAGCTACCGACCGGTTAAAGAAACAAGTCCGATTACGCCGGCCTGGTGTAATATGGAGCGGTCTGAGATGTGGTGCTCACACGGTGGTCCCTATTTGGCATTTGTTGCCAGAATACAGCAACCTGAAGCCATCCATAGATTAGAATGACGAGTACCAGATAAGAAGACGCACTTTTGGGATGGTTTTTCTCTATCCCAAAATGCGTTGGGGTATCCCTAGCTCTTATCGGAAGTGTGACATGAGGATTTCTTCACAGTATCAGTTTTCCGACGTATTTCACTTCGCGTAGAAGTTGGGTACAGAAACCAACGGCCGGGAGAAGAGAAATCAAAACAAAACTCACGTCACGAAGAAGCCCGAATAAAACGTCGGTGTTGAGCGACCTCTCATGAGCTTCATCCATGATGATAGCTGAATAGGGATCCAGATCGGATTCGCGGAGAGACTCACGCAGAAGTATACCATCCGTCATGTACTTGATCAGTGTTTTAGGTGAAGTACAGTCTTCAAATCGAATCGCGTAACCCACTTCGTCACCCAGCCGTGTATTCATTTCTTCTGCAACGCGACGTGCCACTGACATAGCAGCAACACGTCGAGGCTGTGTACATCCAACCATGCCATATGTGGTGTAGCCATCTTCATGCAGATACTGCGTCAGTTGTGTGGTTTTGCCACTGCCAGTCTCCCCGACAATAACAACTATCTGAAAGATGGAACAAGCCCAAAAGTGGTTGAAACAACCAAGTAAACCTAAACAATCATTATTAATGTTTTAAGCTGACTTGCACGAATCTGTTCAGCTATAACACACTTTCGCTGCCTAGCTGCCATGCTGTCCGAAAGAAACATGAGGCTGACTTGCACCAACTAGTAAAAGTGTGGGAAAGACACATGAGTCCCAAGCTAAACGGATCGGACCAAACGAGACAAGGTCAAAACGTCAACGGTGTAGTAATATCTTCGGACTGACAAGAACAGTCTGAGTAGTCTGACAAACCAATTTACACTGAATCGTGGATGAGCAGTCACATGACTTAGACAGACTATATTCAAGGCTAACTGTACACATAGTCTTTCCATTTTTTATATGACCAACAGCTGATAGCCTTTGAGCCAGTCACAGAAGGCCTCTAGAGGTGATGCAGTGAAAGGTTTCGCATCGGTCTGTGGTCCATCAGAAAAGTGAGCTGACACGCGAACCTGTGTTCAGAGTCAAATGAAGCACTCTAGAGGTAACGACACCCTTGGATTGATGATTTCCAGTGATGACCAGATGATCAAATTGAGACGATGGCTGGTTACTGAATTCTTGTTCAGCAAGGCCCCTTCAGCCAACAAGCTGAGTACGAATACCGCGATGTAAATAACATGGTCAATTGCATCAGGACTACTATACATCAGAGGAGTAGAGTACCTTATTATCTCCACATTCCTGTCGCATGCGGTAATAATATTTTGCCCTCAGAGTGTCCCGCAACACAGTCACTCGCAGCATACTGCACTCGTATCCCGTTTGTGTTTTTCTGACATGAGGAATGAATTTTCGGCCGGGATAGCACCGCTCAAGTCTGAAGCATTGTGACAGCTACTCAAGTATGGCGCAACCGGAGATCCAATACCAACTTTCAACTGGTTGGGTCCCCAGTAAAAAAGCAATCAGGCTCCAGTTCGTGGAAATAACTCCTTTTCCACTTCTATGAGCTGAATATGTCGGCTTGCCTCAAATTGACCCAGTTCATAGTCTAGGGGTAATGGATTAGATGCAACCTGTTTTCTGTATTCTTCTAACAAGCAATATAATGCAATCATTGTCCCACAATAACCACCAACTCACCTGATGTTCTTTTATCATTCTCAGTAAAGATGAACGCACAGAGAACACTGGCAAATACTGTCTTTGCTCAGAGAGTGTCTTCTGTGTGGCGAAGTCACTTACAGCCTCTGATTTCATGTCACCAACTTTGTCTGCGAACGTTTGTGTTTGACGATGCGAGTCCTCAGTCCACCGGTCCTCCGGTTCTTCAGGAGCCTTCACTCCCATTACTTCACCAATCCGTGTTCCAGCCAGCTGCCATTCTTTCTTTTGTGCCCGCTTGCGCTCTTTTTGTTCACGAAAATAGCGCACCATTGCACTACCTTTCTGAGCAACTTTTGCCATCACTGAATCAGGGTCCTACAATAACGTGAGAAAAAGCAACGTACGATTAGAATTCCCAAAGAGATGCATGAAAACGACAGCGTGCCTGGTATCGATACAAAGAATACTGGAGGAACCAAACCCATCAGCTCTGGTGCAGTTTTGGCTCATATCCATCATGCAACTCGAGAGAGGCACGAGTACCGAGATACTGCCAGCTCGGCCAAGCCTAGACAGTAGCGACCAGAAAGTCAACGCCAGACTTGAACCACGGCACCCTCCGTCAATAGTTCACACATTAACCTTTGATCTATCTTGATTTTAACCGAAATCTACGGCAGTCTCTCGAGGATAACGCTGAGGAACATAAGTATCTCGGGTGTGCTGCTTGGTTCTTGGTATATTTGTCAAGCATTTTAGTTGGATTGCAAACGTTTCATTACCATATGAGGGGAGGTCACCCACACAGCGTCTAGTAGGTAAATTCTCCCTTTTTCTACCTAACCTTATATAGTTTCTGAACAGTCCCTAAGGATTGTAAGGTGGCTTTCGCGTATTTTGGTTGGGCGGCTTGGAATCCGAGTTGCGTCTTCGTCTCGTCCTCTTGTATCCGTTGGGTTCGTTGGACGCCTTCGATTGGACAATTCTACTTCTCCGCAGTGACTGGACAGTCTGCGTTCATAGGAGGTAAACCACTAAACCAACCAGACCACGAAGTAATAAGGAAACGATCCAATCACAACGGAGGAATAAAGCTGTCGAATTGAAGGCAATTAACGAAGCGATCAAACACGAAATGAGGCCATGATGTAACTCAGACTGACTAACACATTACGTGAAAGCCATCTCGGGACCAACCAATCACCTTAGAGTTATCAGGTGCTGTTTAGAGACCATATTAATAAGACTAAAAAGGGGAATTTACACGCTCTGTCAAGCACCGACGATGTCGCTACGCTTGGTGATGAGGTGTTTGCAATCCAATCGTCAAGCTCGACGAACAGACCAACAGCCAGTCTCAAGATGTTTGGATGCTACTAATTTTGATGGCCATATCTAGGATCAACAAATAAATAAGATACAGTTACGTTGCGACCACCCGAGAAACAGGACCGTCTACTACGCATCTCTGTCAGATACACCAACCTGTTTTTGTGGCAGTGGAGCTCACACAGTAAAAAAGATTGTTTCTAGAGGCGAAGGAGCACGTCCTTGTCAATTCAACCCCAAATCAGTGTAAGGTTTTTCTCAGCAGATTATATTTCCCATACACTTGCAACCGATTTGGTATCGTGAAACGAGGAACACAAAGACTATTTCGTTTCCGGGACACAAACTAATATGGATTCCGTATCCTGAGACGGAGCACATAACCATAGCCATCCATTCCTTTATCTGTTAAATCCAGTGTCTAAAATCATCAACTAAAAAATAACCACAGCCTGATTTGCAAGCTTAAACTACGTGATCATGGTGGATAATTAGCCGTCAAGTCTATTGGTAACTCTGTTGCACAGACATTATTCCAAAAACGATCCCGATACTTCTTACCTTGACAGGAATAACTGGTTCAGGTTGTCGTGTGAACACTATTCGACCGTCGAGGAAGGGAGGAAGTATATTACGCACTAGTAAATGTACACGTGCTTCGCCTTCCTCGTTAAAGTCTTCATCTTCTGCAAAATCAACACGCTGGACCACACCGGAACGTAACATTCGGTTGTGCTCCCAAGCTTGGTTGTCCTTGTGAACCTGGACTGCCTGAGCCGTCAGCTTCTGTCGATTGCGTTTTTTTCGTTCAGCAAGCTGACGCTCCTTTTTAGCCGCGTATTCTTCGGGGATATCTGTGGCGACAAGAGAAGTCCGAAAATGTTCACAATCATTTTAGCTGAAAGGCTATAACATAGAGGATACGATTTCCTTCGGAGATCACGGAAATAGACACAAACCTAAAGGTAATAGCAGAACTGAGGATGCACTTCAGCTGCACTAAATCTCACACTAAAAACATGATAGTTGGGTACAGATAACTAACCACAGCGATACCACTGTATAGCGGACTGATTGTGATCAGGCACGTCACTTTAACGAGTGATTCAGACAGGAGAATGCGGTCGGATCCCGAACGGTCAACCTCGCATGGTAAATCGTTTTTGGCAGAAAAAGATTAAGATCAGAACAGTAATTCTGCCCAGGAGAGGATAAAGCTAGCAGAAGGACAACTCAGCTTCCCCCCCCCCGGGGGGGAGTTTCCCACCAAATAACAATGACTGATGGAGAATACTAGCATAGTATCTCGAGTGAATCGCTCCAGGGGTCTCCCTGGTCCGCATTACTGCCTACACGGTAAGTGTCGATTTCTCTCAATATCAGAAAGTCATAGTTGAGACGCCTGATTGCTTTGCTTAGTTTTTCGATCATTGGACATTTTTGTTGATCCCGGAAATGTACAAGCGAAAAAGTCGTGTTTCTGTATCCCGCTTAGTTTTTTATAACAGGTAGATGTTTATCAAAAATGTGAAAGGTAGAGATGGGAGCCCTTTGTTGGCAGCTGGCTTAAGTGGGGAACAAAACACTTTAAAGACTGACATGAAGAGTCCATATCAGCACTCTATTTAACAACAGACTGATGTGCGACCTCTCTAGCTTAAAGAGAGACCACCAACCTCGCTCCTTTGAGAAAATTTGAGCACAAACAACAAAAAACCGCTTCAGTTCGGCTACTCGCCCAAGCTAAAAGTTTCACCGGCCAAAGGATATAAAAAACTGTTTAAGTGAGCAATGTACCAAGGAGTCACTCAAGCACCCCCGAATCGGTGTATCTCGAGTTTTTGGAGTGAAACGGACTATGGAATGTATTCGCGTCAATGATGAAGGAAGATAACGGACGCCCGGTAGCAGCGACATGACGAATGGGTGTGGCTCGCGGTTTAATCCCAATAGACTAATGGAGTGTGCTATCCATGAGCTCTCTGGTATATGTACGTCTAGGCTGGTAACTAATCTGTCTCAACGACCCCATCAGCCATAGAAGGGGAACTATAAAAATAAAACACTCACCTGCAAACGGATTATTTTCCTCATCGTAACCGTCATCCATTTGGTACCAGTTGCGATCAATGCGTTCATTCTCCACCATCATCTCTTCGGTTTCTTCGAAATTATCCGGACTGTGTTTGTGTCCCCTAGTAGTCCCAGTGCTAGGTCTTGCGGATCTATGTGAATGGTCGGAATGGTGTTCACTCTTGGGACGATCTGACCGACCTATACGATGATGTTCACGGTCACCATGGGGAGATTTCATCCACGTGTTATGTTTGAAAGTAGGAGTAGGTAGCGGCGTGTAAACATACCGTTCGCGATTGGAGTCCGATTTTAGAAAGTTAGTACCCTTCGGAGTGCTCCCTCTGCTGCCGAATCCGGAGTCATCCCAGCTCCACTGCTTACCGGAGCGTCCTTCAGCTCCATGCAAATCGGATGGAGAAGCAAAGCGATCCAAACTCAAGTTGGTATCATCACCAGACCCACGGGCACTGCGATGTGACGGTGTTTCGTCCTCCCACTCAGCTTCTCTGCGGCGCCGCACACTTTGTGATTCCCGATCCGCAGTGATAACAGAATGATCTAAAAAGAGTGAACAGGGTGTGAATTAGAGTAACACCACGAATCCGCCAGGATGGATTTGTCAAGAAAGTGTACAGAAAGCCTCAGTCTCACCCACACTATTTCGGACTCCATATGAAAAGGTTCATGAAATCTGACACTTCAGATGACTTCCGTGATGGGAGTCTCATATACCACTTTCGCCTAGCGAGAGCTATCCAATAAAATGAACGCCAAAAGCCAACACCTCGATTAACAACCACCGGCCTGTCTGAGAAAGTCCTCTGAACCCCTAAGGTCAAACCAACCAAACATATCTTGTGGAGCCTGAGATAGCTCAGGGGTTGAGCTGCAAAATTAGTGGCCAGACGGTCCATCATCCGACTGATCTCGTATAGGCCTGCGCAGCCTGGAAGCATTATGGTTCTCGTGACTCCTTTGGGTAATAAAGATAAGAGATAATCGTTCAGTTGTAGCGTCTTTTCGGTGGCTAGTTGCCATACTTAAGGAAGGGGTTAGACAGTAAATGTGTACCGAAAGGGTGTTACAGCTGACTGACTGAAGGATGAATTGATCTACATCGTTTGGAATCGGTTTTATCACGATTCAACGGCAGATTGTTCACCATGGTTGCTCATTTATCACCTTGGTTCGCCGACAAATCCGATACAAAGGCTGCACGGACAATTTCGAAGGAATGGACTTTTCCCAAGGGGAATTCACCGTATCCTAAGAATTGCCAGTCTCTCAGCTCAAACGTATTGGGGCAAGAATATTTTCATCAAAGGTCAAGGTTAGGGCAGAAGTTTTGTCTTTCAAAACTCCGATTAGTCTGCGAGAGGAAAAGCTGGGTCTATAATACACAGAGAGAGACACATATAGTCAGAATGTCTCGTTTCTATTCTCATCAAAAGAACGCGTGGTTCAAAATGCGTGATAAAAAAAGGTTAAGAAAGCGACGCGAATCAATTACGAAGCCTTTCAGTTCTCGTTGTTGAACGTCAAACGGCACAGCCATTCATTGTTTTCACAAAATAGATTACGTCCCCTCTGCAAACTCATTGGAGGGGGTTTGGAAAAATTTTTTTTATCCAGTTTGCTACGTCCTTCAAGTGGATACCTCTGAGACCTTATGGTTAAAACTGCATCTATATTCCAAACAACAGAAGGTTTGGTTAATTTTGGCAACCGGATTAAGTGTTACTGTTTCAATACAGGAGTTGTGTCTTAAAAATTAAGGCAATTGTGGATATGGGCACTATTCCATCAGAGTACAAACTAATCTTAGTGATTTTTAAGTAGAACGACTTCAGGGATGTCAGAGTCGGACCCAGCACAGTGAATTCAGACGCACGGAAGAAAAGCCATCCTAAATTACCGGTTACCATGATCTTTCTGTGTCCACACCTCATAAACAAATGACGGAATCACTGAAACACCACATGTGACAGCACCTAAGCAGACACATCACTCTCCACAGATTTTGACTCTAATAATTCAATGAAATTAGTAAACAAGATCAGGTCAGCGGGATAGTCAGGCGACCGTTGTTGATTTGCTAACTGAGAAGTAAGTGAGAATGAAAACAAGAAACGAAAACAGTCACTCTATTCGGATGACATATACAGCGGCACGAAGTCCGTGGTTTGGGTTTCGGATGGTAGACGAAACAAACGACACTTAACTAACAAAAGCGTATTCACTCGGTGTTTCCTTAACGGTAACAACAAACCAATTCAATGGCTCTGTGTGGCATCGGTTCCTCTCATTTAGGTTTTTAATTACCTAAAATTTCGTTTCATACTCACCGTTTGTCCAGAACGCAAGAAGGATTTCATCCAGGGACCCTAGACCTCTTCAACTGCCTAAAGGTCACTGAATGGAAGAGCTTGATTTCAATTCCTAGAACTAAATTAGGACAGTCGTAACTCGTCAGCAATCCTTCATAATTTATTGAACTGTTCTCAAGGAAAGGTAGATTTCTTCCGATCCTTTGACCGGAGAAGTAACCGATTGTACCGGTAACCGATCGCATGAAATTTAACCGTTTTTGGTATATTCTAATTCTTTCAGTGCTTTCTACCACAAAACAAACCAACGGAACCAGTGGACAATTTTTCCTGACCGTTGCTATTTCTTCAATTACTCGTCCTATGCCACTGAAAGCCGATATTCTTCCTTCTGTCTTTTGTTTTCGTCTTTTCGGCCCCAGCATTTTTGAAAGCAACCACGCCTAGTGAAACATCAGCTTGGGTGTTTATGCGCCACCTAAGCCAGCCTTATCCAATTGGGTGCAAAAAAAGTTCTTCAGGCGAGAATCGGAGGAAACGAATCACTGTACCCCTGTAGTTAGTCCGCAGCCATTTGTGCCCCTTTTTGTTTTCACGTCCTTAGAAATAAAACTTTATCAATTTTACATTTTTACAGTATGGCTCAGGACCTACACTTTTCAGCTCAAAAGTTCTAAACAACTAAAGAAACGAGCAGCCTTAAATTTCTCACGCACTGGACCATCTCATCCAGAAACCGAATGACGCTGAGACCAAACTACTCTGGAATAACCAAACCGCGTCCAGAAAATTAGTTACATAGTCTGTCGACATTTAGGCTTCAAGAAAGAACCATCAGTAGAGAGTAAAAGGTAGTCCTCATTTGCAGTCAACCCAACCGCGACCCATATCAAGGTGATCCAATTTATCTAATTTATTATCAGGCTACTATATGGAGGAAATCAAAATGAACGCTGACCACACGGATTAGCGACGCAAACGCTTATGGACACAAGCAAAAAGGTAGTCACGACCAAGTTCTGTTGTAGTAATGCACTTTGTTTACGAAAGGGACGTGTACTGGTTATCAGAAGATGGATACAAGAGACTTCCCCAGGGTTTGAAGTACAGTTTCAGCTGAATGTGGGTTCGAACGTCTCCTAACAATACACGATAAGCTACGGTGGAACTTAATGTAAGTATACTGTACGGTCAGTTGCTTGACTAAAGGTGAACATACCTAGTGGTCAGCCGACCAACACTTACCGCAATTTCACCTCTTGATACATCATATATCATCATCGACAGCATGACATCACTGTTCAACACCGATGCTTCATTGCCGCACAACCATGACTTACTTGAACTTACTTGACTTATTGTGAAAAGAATAAAGGTGGACGAGGAAGGGACTTGGTGCTAGCTTACCCCAACCATTCTGAGATGCCTGCACCTCCACTCATTCAGGTAATCTGGATAGAAACTGACAACAAGGACCCCACTGACAGACATATCTTGCAGTGTCTCCAATCAGGAGCAGTGGGGATCACGCGGTCCCCATCCTTGAAGGCGAGTAGCATCGAAAGCACCCAAACGTTTCGTAATCTCTTTCATATCCCTCTTCTAGGTCAATGGTTGGCTATCTCTCTGCTTCCGCCACTCTGAATCGGGCAGACGATAGTTAGGCATACGCAACACATATCCTAACCGAATCAGCTCCTGGTGCTGGACATATTTTTCAATGGAAGTACCCATTGCACAGCAGAAAACTCCCAATTGCCTCGTTATGGATACGCAGACACCAACCCACACGAGCTATGGTTCCGCGACGACTGTTGGACACCTAGAGACGTCCGCTGCTCCAACAGGACAAGTCTTACAGCCATACAACAAAACAACCCCACTGTAGCTTGATACACACGTCCCTTAAGATTCAGGGATTCACCACTTTGACGCCATAGGTGCCCCAACGCGACCCGGGCCCTGCAGATTCGTGCATTCACCTGTCACATTACAATCAGAACTTATATAACTTCCAAGATACGTAAAACATAACCTCCGGTACCTTTCACTGGATTTCAAGTGGCGCGTTCAGCGACTACAACGTCCACGAGCATTACCTTACACTTTGTGGGTGCAAAGTGCATACCAAAGGATGGGATGACTCTGGTCAGTTCATCTCCTCCTCTTCGAAGATCACAACGATGTCATCTGCATATCCCAGATCGACACGGTTTTCGTCACAGGCTATTTGAACACCGGGGTTTCGGAAACCTTCCAGCGTTCGTGATTTCATCGCATCGACCACGAAGTTAAACAGGAATGGGGGGTGGGCATCCTTGACGGACACCACTTTAGGTACGAAAGCTTCTGGAGAGCTCGCCGTATATTCACACACGTCCAGAAGTCTGGAATCATATAAATATATATTATATATGTATATATAACATAATGGTAACGTTTCATGCAATGGAAAGTGGGCGGCTTGAAAAGCCATATGCTTCGATGCAACAGGAAAAGCTGGTGACAAAACTTTTAAGTTGCCACTGAAGCAATAAGATTCGCAGGTCCAATATGTAGCACGTAGCTGTCTCATTTCACAATTAATGTGACAGTTTCAACAGACCCTGCGGTCTGGCGATGCCAGAACAAACCAGCTAGACTGAGTAACAGTGACAGGTCACCAAAATGCTGTACCACAGTGGGCCGAAAAGCTAGGCTGAATAGAATCATGAAAAATAAAGCTGAGTGAAGCATATAATCTTCGGCATTTATAACTGAGTGATCAGTTTGCTGCTCTAATAGGAGAAGTTAGAGGTGGCTCAGGACCGATGAATTAGTTGGACCCGAAAAGCCAGTTAAAGCAGGAGCCGACGGCATCCGTTTGTTTAATTCACTTGAGTATCTGTTGTGTAGCAGCATAGTGTCGCACATAGCGCTGCATTCTACCAATAATAGCAATAGCCAAATCAATGAGACCTTTATGTGCTCAACATACATGAAGTCGGCTTTTTTCACATTATCAACCAGAATCAAGTGAAAGAATACAGGTTTCGCATGCCTATTATCCAGCTTACCAATGTCCCTGCGTACTGTTGATTCAGGAAGAGCATTTATGCTCTTCCGGGAAGTTGTCGAGACGAGACCAGATTTCTCTTTTTCTTGGCGTTCCCGCTCGCGTCTACGCTCTCGAGAATCCAGAAATTCTTTACTGACACCGCCTTGATTGGAAGGTGTTTCGACACGACGTTCCCTGTAAATCCTGCTGGATATGTGCATCAGATTATTTTTTTTAAATCACGTTACCTGTCACGGTTAACTTGATCACGCTTTGCAAAGTTCAACTCCTTCACGGTACCTTCAAGTCGCTTCCTCTCTGCCAACTTATCCAGACCTAGTAATGATCCTTGTGGTTTCTTGAAATCCGACTTTTTCTTGCTGAGAAATAAACCGCCGGGTTCATTTGCATCGGATCCTGAAAGTCGATCTACAGCTTCAGAGAGTTCCATAATAGCCTAAAATGGCCAAAAGATATATTGAACCACCCCAAGTTTGTGAGTGAACTTTTTCATCAAAGAAGCAAGCTGCTGATAAAAGCACTACTGTATTAGATAAAACGAAACACTATTTGGGGCATGCGTGTACTAGCATGTTTGGACGTCTCTCAGACAGCAATGAGCAAATAAGCTATCTCCATCGATCCGGTGAATTTCACGGACGTGTTAGACAGGATAAATGCACAGAGGATCAGACCGTCTGGAACAGTATCCACGATAATCAAGGTTGTTCAACAGCGACACCTAAAGCAACTGCTGCCCCCTGCACCTTAGCTCATTTGCAGATGGCCGCCAGACAAGGCACGAGTCTCTCCAGCTGCCACCACGGAACAAAGGACGTTTTTTGATGGGAACTCACGTCTAACATCTGTGGTATATCGACCTACATGTGACCTTGATTTGCCAAGAAGCGCTCACCGTCATTGGCAGCAAGACCAGCGTTGAACATACCCGTCGGGAAGAGACATGACCTTACCATAGTGTGAGGATTTGTGCGCCTAAGCGGCCCATCGAGCCACCCTGAAGATTATCCGTATAACGTTAAAGGTTCATCAGTGGAACGATACAGTCTCTGGTTCTGAGGATGGGGGTTACAAAGTGTGATGTACAATTCTCTGAAAGTTAAACTATCTGGTAGAGCCAAAACAATCATTCCTGCAGCCACGAAGAGACTGGACCTTACCGTGGTGTGGCGGTTNCGTTCCCCAAAGGTTACCATTAGCGTCTGTATGGTGTCATCGAATGACCTGTCGCGTGGGTTCTGTGGCAGGATCAGGTTGCAGTACTTGTCCAGCTCTGCCAGGCCAAGTTTACGAAGCAAGAGCCGGACTTTCCATGCATCGTCCTGTGCAGCGAGATCAGCCCGGATTAGGCCCTCGTAACGGCGGAACCACGTCTCGAACGTAACGTTAGCGTCTGGATCGTAGTTAAATTCCGCTATGCTATTCGCAATCGCATCTACCTGCTGACCGGGCGCCGGATTGGACTTAGCACTACTAGCGGGAACCTTGAGCTGCGTAAGCATCTCGATGAGTTTAAGCTGTTGCTCGAGCAGCGCCTCTACTTTCGCAGGATGCATTACGAGTAGAGCGAAACACCTCGTCGCCAAATGATATGTATCGGAATCGGGTACGATCAACGGATATACGCGACCTGAGAACGGGCGCACAACTCCCCAGCTATGACGCGAGCCCAACCACTCCTAGCACAGACAGAGAACACCAGACCTTCAGGAGAGGGCTTTTACTGCCTCAACCAAAGGCGAATTACAGTGGGAGCAACGTCGTATATATATATATTTCGAGCGACCTTGGGGAGCGAAAAGTCAGTTAATGCACACAAAGTGTAACTGGCCAATAGGAAAAGAGCGTGGTCTTTACGGATTGAGGTGCGACATGGAGGAAAAGGCGCGAAATTTAAAAATTCGAAACTTTTTGAAAATAAACTGGCAATAACTCGGAAAATAAGCAGTTTTTGGGGATACTGACATCCACAACAGTCGCCCAACCTTGTATCGGATGCACACGACCGAGAAGCTGCCAGTGCATGAATAAGCATGAAATCCCGTACTGGACCGTTGAGTTGAGTTGATAACTGCCGTCTCTCCCGGGATGGGGATCGCGGGGCAAGACAAAATAGTGGTTGATAGGCCTGACAGAGGTGGCCGTGTCACGCGGTCAATTGTGCTTTGCGTCAAAACTATCACCTCCGCTACATGGCTCTCACTCCCCGCAATGCTAGACAAACATCCATTTTCTATGAAACCACGAATTGAGTCATCTCTAAGATGTGAAATTTATCCCCTTGTTCTCCTTACGGTCGGTGAATGAAGCTATAGAATTTGGGACTACTCCACTTGAATGCACGGTTTGCGAGCCGAGAAAAATTAACGAACTGAACAGGGCGCGTCAGAGTGCACGAAAAGCTGCAAAAGCAATGACATCTGAGAGGATTGTCACACCTCTCCACTCTTGTCCAATTTAGTCATTGAGAAAGTGATGCAACGGACACTTGAACTTCCCCACGACTTTGGTGTTTGCACATCTCGAAGCGGCGAACTTATCAGCCTGGTAGGTGCTGACGATATTCTTGTCGGTTTTTAAAAAAAGCTGGAAGACGGAAAGGTTAATAGAAGTCTCCCAGTCCTTCGGGATGTGCTTCGCAATCACAAAGCGCAACCATGCTGCAGGGTATACAGTCTGAACGTGCTTCTGGAAATTCGAAGAGAAACTGTGGAAGTTATGGTACACTCTACAAGTTTGATTAGATCTGACGTTAGTGTGACAGACGAAGCGAACGCACGGAACTCAAGAACCGGGAAAGATTTTGCCGACATGCGCCACTTGTGGCATCAAAATCGAAGAGACTGGACCCGACACGAAGAGACTGGACCTTACCGTGGTGTGGCGGTTTGTGTACCTCGGCAACCCATTGAGCTATACTGGGGAGTGTCCGCACGATGCTCACAGAGTTTCTCATACCAGGTTGGTCCATGGGTAGAGGTCCGACGAACACAGTCTCCTGGCCCTCCAGGTTGGAAGTTGGGACATGTATGGCGACGTGTTCCGTAAAAAATGGTAATGTACCTGCATTTCCAGCCGAACACCGCTGCCTTGCGGTCAGGCTTTTGAGCCAAAGGCTTTGGATGAAGACCCTAATCGTCCTCCTGTCTAGATGTGGGCGCCCTGGCAGTATCCCAACCCACATACAACCATGAACTGCACATACACAAATAAATTCATGCCACATCGGCCGTCGCGTGGTGACATCAGCCGGCTCGCCTTACTTGCTGCATACAGCAGGGCGGGTAAGCG